GGGTAGAATAATAATTCATTGATGTAAGAGACAAACAGACAGACACAAAGGCAGAAAAAAGGTGAGGTGAGTACTGTGGAAGTGGTCGAATATGACATACACTGGGGTCATGGTAGTTAGAAGTCAGAAGTCAACTGTTGGTTAATAGACTTTTGCCGTATGAGTATACGTTGCCCAGGGTACACCACATAGAGGTAAGTCTATCGCACACCCCTTATTTATAGAAATAATATTCATCATTTATGTTGGGAATTAGTAGCTTCTGAATGATGAAAACTCATTAAATGCCTAACTAATATATTTTCCAGCGATTAGATGAAGCATTATATGGGTTGTTTAGTCACTCGAGTTTCAATGCACTTCTATGTAGAATATGTGCAAATATTGAGGCAGGTGGGGTGTGCGATAGACTAACCTCCACGTGATGCACCCTGGGCAACGTATGCTCATACGGCAAAAAAGTCTATTAATCGGAAATTAATTTCTGACTTCAAACTACACTGATCCTGCTGTATGTCATATTCTCACAGTACTCAACACACCTTTTTCTCCAGATTTGTCAGTCTCTTTTACATCTGTGAATAATTATTGTGTCCCCTCTATCGACGCTTTGCCACTTTGCTATTTTTGCTTCTCTCTGTGAAGTCCAAAGTCGGCTAAAGAGTTAATGATAACTATTGAAACGATTGCCACTTGAAAAAATTCTGAGGCAGGTTTTATTATAAAATGCAAACAATATTCTTTTAATTCAAATAAGCAGCAAAGAATATTATTTTTTGTTGTAAACTTGATTTATAAACATTAAAAGGTACATATTAACAGACTTATTTCATGATTGCATAGAATGATCTACAAATATCGCAATTATTTAAATCCTGTTGGCGTCCTTGTCGGCGGCGTATGTTTAGCTTTATAGATTTAATAGATGAGCGATAAACAATACTTGCTATAATTAATTAATTTATTTCTATTAGGACCTAATCTTATATACTAACAGGTTATCTTCCGTTTGTTATTTTCACAAATTCGTTTATGTTATTCCCGGAGTTCATTGAAGGAGTTGGCAATGAGGTCTTAGTATGCGCACTGACACTGGGCGGAATACTTTTCTGTGTTGGCACACGTTTGTATAATAATGGTATCAGAGTGGCTCGATCCCAGACCCAGGTTCAGTCGCAATCTACCAATTCGAATTCAAATTTAACGGAAACTGCAGATGCTACAAGCCCCAATGAAAATGTGGATGATTACCACATCGGAGTTCTAGATACTGAATACATGGAATTACTGAGAGACTCTAATTATAATATAGATAGTGGTAAGTCGGACATTCTGGTAATGATTTTATATTATGTTGAAGAAAGCGCTGATGCGCATACATCTAATCGAGATAAGAAAAGGGCTTTGGAAGAGGTCAGAGACTCGGGAAATATTGTCATTCGCCTTCAATATCTCAATGATCATGTTCGTTATGTTCATGCACCTCCGGATATGCCTGTCGCCGTATTTAAAAAGTGTGTAAACCTTGTATTTTTGATTGAGTTCATACTCATGTCTTGTGACCTTTTGGTTGCCTCGTGCTTGAAAACTAATTTTCGGTTAGCACTTGCGGTAATAGTTAATGCTTATAGTACCGTAGTGCTATTTTTATGTTTGTCTCAAGCATTATCTTATGTGTGGACCAAAACTCTGAGTTTGCATTTACCGCAGATTTTTTCACCGTTTTTTCGTAATCTTCCTTTAAAATAGCTGAAGAAGAGTTCGCTCAATTTGAGCGGTTTGCTGGTTTTTAGTTGACTAAAGTCTAAACATGCATTTTTTGTCGCCAAAGTGGTTTAGTCATGTCTTCCAAAAACATTTGTGATTACAGTTTTTTCTTATAATTTTTCTGAAAATGCCTTTAATGCTTATGGGGTGAAGGATTTAAAATCAGCTGCTGACTAGATTTTTGGAAAATTAACCTCCTAAGCGTCTACTGTTTTAGCGGTCACGATGCAAAAATACATCAATTTCCCTTTCCAGTTGCCTATAACAATTGTTACGATACTAATTAGGGCTATATTTGTAGTCCTTCCAGGGGGTAAAGCTTGCTAAGAACACAGGTGTTCTAACTTCAACTGAAACTACAGTTATCTTGATTTAATGATTTAACCCCCAAAATTTACCTCCACTTGCTGAGTACTGTACTAATGGTCTCCTATCCTCTGTCAAATCTTATCGTTAGCTTGAATCCTTTAAACGGCTTAAGATGTTCTCGCAGCCTTGATGTTTAAGTTTTATTTGTCAAAAGCGTGATTTCAAAATGAGGTCTTCTCTATCAAAACACCACCAGAGGCATTCAAATTTCAAGGATTCTACGGTCACGCCTATCACTACTTCTTAGTTCAGCCAATGTGAATTTAGCGGATATTTTAGACAACCTTTCTAAATTGCACCCAATGAAAGGTACTCATCCTAGCATCTTGTGCTTCGTTATAGGAAGTTTTTCGCCGACGAACTGGAACGCCAGAACAAGAGTGTGCGTCTGATCTTCCAGGGTCGTGAACTGAAGCTCAACAGTCCCGAGAATCCTACTAAACGCTGTCTTCGGGACTATGGGGTGTCTGACAACTCCACCATTCACTGTCTAATTAGCGATGCTCTCCCTAGACCCACTGGCAATCCAAATGGTCAACAGGATCCCTCATCCACAACAACGGGGCGCACATTCTATCGCACCAATATGATTGGGGGCACTGAAGATATTGATTTTGGAAGTCATGCATTGATGCCTCTTTTAGCATTTCTTCTCATCTCCGCTTGGCTTTTCCGCTTGACGCACTCGGAATACTTTAGTTTACTCTCAACAGTTGCACTAATTTGCCTTTCAGCGGTGTTTCTTGGCGCGGTGTACAGTTCTGTCTATAACTCGAATGACCGGTCAGTTCCTCTCGTGGACAGGTCGTCGTCGTCATCATCAATTGCAGCTGGTGATGCTATGAGATCTTCTTGAAATAGAGGAGCGAGGAAAAATAACTCTATTATGTCTGTCTAATTTGTTTTTCTTGACTTACCTCACTCAAGAATGAGTGTGGTTTTTGAGAATAGAAAAAGATTATCTAACTCCTAATATAATAATTTTGACCAGACTTCTTAGCGAGTTTAGTTAATAGCATAAAACCTTTCCAAAAATAAGAAACCAAGAGTGAGACTACCAGTGTGTTGGAGCGAAAGTAGGAAATACAGGAGCAGGGTACAAGTGCTTGTGAAACAGAGCGAGACGCAAGGAAGAGGAGTTGACTAATTTGGCCTATTTTACGCATCACATCGTGTTTATTAAAACTTGTGGAGTCTAGAGTCCTATGTGCTGCATATTATTTCTTAAGTTACAAGCACCATTTTATACGGAATTTTGAGTAGGCAAAGTGGAACCTTGCAGTGTTTGAAATGTAATCCAGCTTCATACAATTGACATACGCATCGGCCATTGGTTCATTAGTATAGAGTCGAGAAGTTTTGATTGGTTCGACGACGTGTTATAAATGATGAGTCAACACAGGATGCGGACAGAACTACTCGAATGGTTGTGGTAGAAGCTCAGGATGATTCTGGCGTAGTAAACACAACCTTGGGTAATTATAGAAAAATCACCGGCCTTTCACTTAGACACAACATCTTAGGCTATCATAAATAGTAGGGGTGGGTTATCTAGTTGAAGTACTTAAAACCAAAAACATCTACACTAATCACAAGGAAAACGGTCGGCGCTCGAACAATTTCATTTATAACTTCTCATTTATTTAAAAAAAAGACATTTTTGCACTTGGTCGTAATGAAAATTTACCATAAATGCAAATATATATATATCACAAAAAATATCCCTATAGCTTGTTTATCTGAGTCAATGCTATACAAATGCTATACAATTAAAAATCCTTATTCACACTCATTCGGGCTTGGAAGAGCAATTTTTCTCCACTGCAACCTTCATTCGTTTGGCCCTTTGAGCAGCCCTCTTCAATTTTCGCTTCTGCCTTTTACTGAGAGATTTTGGGGACAGATCTCCGCCATTCATCTGACTTGAACTGGTCGTTGTATTTGAAGCACACGACAAACTTGGAGTGTCATCATCCACATCAATCACTTGATCCTCTTCAATTAGCCACTCAGAGGGTAGACGGGAGATGTGTCGCATAAAGACACGATCACCGGCATCTGATAATCCCATGTCGACGGCTTCAATGTAGAGCAGGGCTTGTGGGGGATTTTTGCCAACAACCGCTGGAACGTAGAGCGTAGACTCTGGATGGATGGAAAGGCACATTGAAGGATTTCCCTCAGAGGTCCGTAAGCAACAATGCTTTCGATAAGGAGGGTTACTTCCACCTTCGACCAATCCGTTTGCTGAGGTGTTCTTTACAAGAGAAGCAACCTAAAGAAAGCTCAAAATTAGATCATAGGGAAAGAAGACACAAACAACTTGCATTAAATAGTCAGCCGATTGGGCTCTTCTCAAGAAAACCAAAGGAAGATATAAAAAGCTGTCTAGATTTCATCTAAGATAATGCCATTTCGAAACCAACACTATTCTACGATCTTCACACAATAGCGTCAGATAGATAGATGCATTTAATATTCAACAAAATTAGACAAAAGGTAGTCCGATAAACCTCTTTCAAACTAAGACAAATACACCTATAATTAAATGTTGGGAAAAGTTGAGTAGGGTAGAGACGAGACATTCTGGGACAGCTGTTAGGAGAAACGCACATTCCAATATTTGTTGATGAGTTTGGCCACCCACATCTCTTACATGTCAACTGATACACTCTCGATAATAACCGCAAGACCATTTAGGAAAATAAAATTCCAACGCTCATTCTGAGTGGAATCATGCAACTTCATGGAAGAAACACCAACTCTACTGGACGCTGTCAATAGATTTCGACATTGAGCAATAAACGACTCTTTCAATTTCAAGAGCTATTGCACGTCGACCATAAAAGCTTCTATAATGTACATAAAACGATTAAAATGTGCATACCTGATCACGGAAACCAACTTCAAAGAAGGCCTTAGCAACGGGGGTAAAGTCATTGGCTCCACAGGAACTAATGGGTCCGAGACCACTTCGAAGAACAAGTTCGCGGAGTTGGCTTCGAATCTTGATGGCTGCTTTCAGTCTATTCAAAATGAGGAAATTCTCCCGACACCATAGTATCCGCCGTTTGGCTTGAGGCAGATGACTAGAACCGGTTGCAATGGAGTTGTTGTTGGTGTCATTCGATTTAGCGTCGGATATTTTAGAATAACCACGGAAGACTTGGAGCAATCGAATTAAATCACCATCTGGATGGTGAAAGCGCTTGGAAATCTACAATAAAGAGGACGAAGAATACGTAAGAAAAGCAACAGTTAATCTTTATGCAAAGACATAGTCAATTGAAAACGAGAGCCCTCACAATTTCTTAACTTAATGTCGATACCACTTATGGTCAAGTCTTTTCAATTGAAGCAGAGACAAGAAACTCTCCATCTAGAAATTCCTATTGCATTAGATAGTTGACCCTAACTATGATTGTGATATTCAGACACCTGGATTCTGGACAGCAAAAACTTCGTCTTATCAATATCTCTGACCTTTGCACCTTGCACTCTCTGAGATCTGTTTTAAGTAGTTCCAAATACACTACAATTTTCAATCTTGTTAGTGTAGAAAATGCACACCCCACCCCTTCCATGCACTCATGGAATTAATTGTCAATTTCCACCTCCTTTCAATCTCATTATGTGCATAACGCTGAAGAAAAGCCTTAGTGCTGTTGGTCAATAACCTTCTGCTGGCTCAATCCTCATCGCAAAGGTTTGCCACTGCTTGAACATCACTTAATGCACTCTCCAAATCTCTCAGCTCTGTCAAGCTAGGGCAATAAGAAGAGCCTAATAGTATGACAAATCGATGCGCCTTCGGAGGAAAAAATAAAACAAAGTGTTAAAAAATGACATTGAACACAGGAACACACTCAACGATGCTGAGAACAAATCACGAAACCCGAATTTTGAATAAAAACTATCAATTAGGTAGGACATGCACAATCCAAATCTAACAAATTAAAACCATCTGATGCCCCGACCTTGCACTTAACACATTCTTGAACCTCTCTATCATTTATCAGACTTACTGTCAATCGATTTCAATTGCTCTTCCACATGTAAGAAACAATTTTTCTGCCTTGCCGTGAGTTATAACAAAACCACAGAGCCAAAGTTAAAGGTCACATGTGCAACTGAAAAAGCATAAAATCGGAGTTCGTGAGTTCATGTACAGCAGAATAATAGCATGTAGCAAGGCTAGATTAAGGTCAGCCAGAGTAAAGTAGAGCCAGAAATAAAAGTAGTCAATTAAAGAGATCAAGAGAAAGACTAACTACACACTACCTGTTCACTAGAACAAATGAAGTCATTTTAGGCCATTTCATTAGCAATAGAAGTGAATGGAATGAAGGGTAATATGCAAATGAAAATAGAAAAAAAATGGCAATATTGCACATACATCATTGAACTCCTCACGTTTGTCTTGCGGGACATGAAAGACAGGTGATACAAAGAGCATACTAATTATTGTAAGGACTTCGACAAGACAATTGTACTTCGCTGAGGAGAGGATAACTCGAGACATTCGCGGTGAAAGAGGAAAGTGCTGCATCAGCTGACCCTCCTTTGTTAGCTAGAAAAGAAAGCGAGAACATGGTTGGAATGGACGTCCATTAAGTGGGGATGAAGGGAGAAGGGCCAAACGTACTGTGACTTGGCGAGGGATAGAGTTATAAAAATTACTAAGGCCATTAAGGTAGCCATTTGAAAGACTGTTTGAAGGATAGGTGATAGCACCAAGTCGATGCAGTAGGTCTACACCCGACTTGATAGCCTTGGTATCAGGTCGTTCTAGCCAAGGAAATGTTTCCAAGTCCTTGATGCCTAGAGCGAAGAGATTAAGAAGAATGTCTGCAGTGGGAGTGGTAATCATTTGAGACGGTGGAAAGGAGGCCATGTTGTTCTCATACTCTTCATCAGTGTAAAGACGAAATACAAGGCCTTTGCGTTCACGATTGGCTCGACCTGCTCGCTGAGCGGCTTGGGACTTTGTGATCCAATTCACTCGCAGGCGCTCTATGCCGGTGGTACTGTCGTATTCTCTGTTTAAAAAAAAGACATCTGGCGTTGAATATGCGAATAATTAGTAGTAATTGAAAACGCTTAAATTGTTTTCACGAGTTTGGGCAACTGCGACTAGAGTTAATGATTTTTAGGAGACGTCTTATTATCCATTATCAATCTGCAAAATCTAATCCCCAACTCCTTAATAGGCACGCCTTTGCACCTCCATATTTCCAAATTGGGGTGTGCGATAGACTTACCTCCACCTGGTGCACTCTGGGCAACGTATACTCAAATGGCAAAAAAGTCTATTAACCGGCAGTTGACTTCTGGCTTCTAACTACCATCACCCCACTGTATCTCATATTCGACTACTTCCACAGTACTCACCTCACCTTTTTCTACTTTTGTCTCTCTCTTTTACATTGTTGAAACATTCTTCTGTTCCCCCCCCCCTCTCGAATTTTTTTCACTTTGATGTTCCTTCTTCTCTGTGAAGCCTGAAAACTATCAAAATGCCTGCCATCTGATATAAATAAATATTTCCAAATTGGCACTAATTCCAATCGCACAACTAATCCGCTCTACTATCTCTCAATTAGCTTCTCACACCTACCCATTTTGCAACCTTCACCTATAATCTATTTATCTACCTCTCTCTCACTCTCTCTCCCACTCTTAGAAGCCTCAATAAAGCGTTTTCATTGGCTAATCCTTTGCCTTCATCTTACTCTATGCAGTTCTATTTCTCCAAATGCATAAATCTGTAGCATATTGAAGGGATAGAACTGGACGGCGACACTTTTAAATGCCTTAGTGAGCTGCTCGGGTTCAAATGATGTTGACAAACTTTTGAAGACCATCAGAAAGGGTATCAAAATGTAATAAAATAACGTTAAATCTATGCAAATTCGCATCAACATCTTTGTTACTATCAGCTAATAGGTCTGTAAATGCAATACTAGTAGCGACATCATGGAATTGGTAAATTCGAATGTGTGATTTATTTCTCTAACCAGACGAACGCAAGGTGACTTAAGAAACTTGGGCTTGTGAAAATGCAGACAAATGAAAACACGCACCCTTAATAACTAATGCCAACGACTTCGATACGGGTTGAGATAACTGAGCTGAGCATTCTCAAGCGCTAATTCCATGAAGGCTTTATGGACAAAATAGCGTCGATTACAGCTTGCGCTGTGCTGAAATCGTCGAGTTCAGGACCAAGAGAACTTAATTTCACAATTTGCTTCCAATTCCAATCCTTAATACAGCCTTTAAATTCGAGGGATTTAGAAATGATTTGAAGAGCAGGGCATTCCATCAACAAAAAATGACCACATAAGACTACTCATCTGCCCAAAATGAGGATTGGAAAACGCCTTCCAAAATAGCCAACCCGGAAGCACTAAATATCTCTGCATTGATTCTTAAAGGATGATCACATTTGTTTTTACAAGTCCTTTCACAAATCTCCTACTATCCATAGCTAATAAAAAATAAGATCACTTAGTCACGTGAAGCCGCCTAAACAGCTAGGCATAGTGGCAATATTTCAGAGTTTAAATAATGGAGACAATACAGTGTGGCCAAGTTAGGCATCAAGTTCATGGAGAACACTTCCAGTACTTGCTGTAAACTAGTGAATGTTCACTGCCTTCTTATTTGTAATAATATGAATTTCTAGCTTTTATATAAAGATAAAACACGAATTTACCTCTCTGTATTCACATGAGGCCCCTCATTAGTCCTGTAGTTGACTTCAGGCTTCACAGAGGGGAAGGAATATCAAAGTACGAAAAAGTCGAGAAGGGGGGGCAGAAGAGTGTTTCAAAGATGTAAAAGAGACAGACACAAAGTTGGAAAAAAGGTATTCACATGAGGCCCCTCTTTTACCCTGGCCACCCGGAAGATGGTAAGATGGAACTCAATTTCAATCCAACTTCAGAACCAATATAATTGTCTGCCTTCTCAAGCTTAATTTCATACTCGGCTCAGCTTTCGATGCATTCTACTTGGTGATGATTAAGACGACTTAGATCTTAGATGATTCGGCGGCCATGTAGCTAGGCAGACGAATGAGTTCATCAATTTCAGTAAACCACTTTAGATAAATAGGACACCAGTTGGGAAAATGTAATTACAAGTCTGCAAATATACTGATTTAGTGATTAATACAAACCCGAAACTTTTTCCCACAAATGAACTATTGAAGCCTTTATTTCAAATCAGGTAAAATGATGACAGATGGAAGTATAAAGCCCTTCGAAACTTAGATTTTGACGGAAGCTTTAACACAATGCAATTATTAACTTAAGCTAAAATTAAATGTTCTCAGTGGAGTTTGCAGCATTTAAGAAAACAAAGGGCTAAATTTGCGCACTGATGATGGCAGAGTATTCAGAGTGCACTTTTGCCAAAATCAGACGTCACAGGTTGGATACAATTTGGCGCATATTTAATAAATAGCATAGTCTCAGCTGACTAGCCAATTGAGGATTATTGGAATACAAATATCTACTCAGAGGCAAAAAGATGGGTTCTAGGGAAAAGTATTTCTGAAATAAGTGTTTAGGAATGATAAATTTGAAATAAGGCATCCGAAACCATTTAGGAAATTGAAAAGAACAGTCGAATCAGGCAGAAGAAGGGTGTCATAGGGACACTGCTATTCTTTCACTACTCTTGTTCCCCAGAATTAACAAGTGCGGTTGGGCGTCAACGTTGCTAAGTATGTACCTATGGAAATTAATCTCCTTACCCCTGACATGGTAGACATTCACGTTGGCCACTGCGCAATTTATTTTTATCACCAACGATAGTATCAAAGAAAACCTACTTAATATAAAGTCAGACAGTAGTATAAACAAACGAAATAGGACACAGTTATAAACATCCAAAGGTATAACGGACTACCGCTCTCGAAAGTCAAGTAAAACAAGACTGATTTTAATCCTATTTTTCAAGCTAATACTCAGTAGAATAACCAAACTCAAGGACCAATTTAAGCCTAAAGTTGAGTAAAACGTAAATTTAAGGAAAATCTAGTAAGTAAAAAATCGCCTCGTAAAATAATAAAAGCGGGTTAAGGACTACAAATATAGTGGGCTTGTGTAGCTCCATAAGTTTGTAGAAGGCGTTGGCAAGAAAATACAAGCATTTATAGAGATGGTGCTAATAAAACGCACAAGCAATGCAAATTGTCAAAAATGAACATAACGAGACACAAGTATGTCTTAAGGAAAACCATCAAGATTTGGAGAAGTGGAATCTTCAAACATCCATCTTCTCCCAACAGATATGCACTAGTAGCAACTCCACGTTTATCCAACCAATTTGTGTCCTTGATATGAGCCAAAAATGATTTTGGACAGATTCTCAATCCCAAAACCATTAGAACACTTATGGCTGATTCCATTCGTGAGAGAAACAATGACCTCTGTTCGGTAAATACTTCCAAATACCCGACTTCAATGTAAATCTGCTATCCCAGATCACATCCCAATTAATACGAAAACGCTACTTATATACTATGACGCATTATGGTTAGCTACGCCTTAAAAAATTTAGGCAAATAAATTCTTGCATAAAACTTACGGGGTCTTCACTTTCCCACTGTCAATTACGATGCAGATGCCGGGTATAGTAATTGAAGTTTCGGCAATATTAGTAGCAACAATGACTTTTCGAGTACCCTAAAAATAGAGATCAAAAAGTAGACATTCTCACACTTTGGAGATACACGCCCCCAAATACTTACAGCTCGTGTAGCGGTGACAGCTCGCTTCTGTTCAGCTTGTGACAAGGCAGCAAAGAGCGGGTACACATCAATGGGGTAGGCTTTCTTGTCCTTCTCTTCATGCGATCGATTAATATGCTTAATCAGATGGATGCATTGATAGATCTCATCTTCGCCTGAGAGGAATATGAGAATACCTCGCTCGGGATTATTGGCGCTTGCTATGTTAACCTAAACGAAACAAGAGGTCATTGCTTATTAAGACCGTTAACTAACTCCAAGCTTTAAGGTAGGATACTTACATGAACACAGGTTGAGGCGGCTTGCATCACGTAATCCGTGATGGGATCTTTGATTGAACGGGTACTAAGACCATGTCCACGGCCATCTATGTACACAGCATGAGTTTGTTTTTCTCCAAAATATTTAATATATGGCTCTGGATCTATCGTAGCTGACATCACAATGACCTGCAATAAATGGATAACTATTCAGAACTGAATAAAGCAATAAAACATAAATGGTGTAAGCTTCTTCGAGAAATTTACTGAAAGCATTTTAATATTGCTGTATTTCCGCAATAATAGTAGAAGTAAGGACCTGCAAAACAAACCGAAAAGATAAAACTTAAGGATATGTTCCTGCAGAACAAGGACGTGTCTGAAGCCAATTCAGTAGATTTCTTTGGAAACTCCCACAACCAACGAAGAAGACCATGTCTTTGGGCCTCCCAGTTAACACAATTTAAAACTTCTAGAACTAGAAAGATTGCACAGTCGTAACAAAGACAAATTGACCAAAATGTCAAGAGCCCTTGGCTTGACCATGCTATTGTGGTTAAAATAGTCAAGTGTCGACTTCAGTCACCAAAAGGCGTAAATCCCCCAAAACAAGTGAGACCAAGCAGAAGTTAAGGTCAAGGCCATCAATTCTCTTGCCCCACAAGCCAAGTAGATTCAAGTGCTCAATTCATGGAAGCTTAAAATATAAGGATAGCTGAAAGAGGTTAAATACAGGAACGCCACTCTCAAGATGACATAGAGTTCATGCCCCTGAAAGAAAAATAGCGATTAAAAAGTACCGTTCATTGAACAACGAATCTGCGATCTAGAACTTCGCAGACTAATAGCTAAATAACCTGCAGTAATTATTATTGTTGTTCTACTGTTTTGGTCACTTATTAGCAATTTAAATCGTAACGAATTTTAGGGAAAAGCGTAAAAAGATTCAAACACTATTGATCCGGAAAATTTCCTCTTCCGTTTAAAGCAATGACTTAAAGGTGGAGCGAAAAAAACGAACTTTATTAGTCTATGCAAGAGATCACTTGCAAGTACTATCTAAATGTTCATGGAACGTGTGATGAAAAAGAAGCTAAGTGCATCGATAACATTCTGTTCACTGTGCTCATTTGCCAAGTCCGAGGTCACAGATTCATTACGCGTTAACGCCCGTCTAGTGAGAAGTATTACCACCAAAACAGATGACAGAAGAATTCGAGCCTCCCACCAGTGGAGGGGGCTCAATGAAAACCCTATCTACCTCAATGAAACACTGGTAAACGCTTTACTAGGTGTGCTCGGAAAATATCAGAACCAAAAGGCAACTACTTGAATGAATAATAATGAATGAGTAATACAAGGCCTCTTAGTGAGTTTCGACCGAATAAACAACATGAACCTCACACATTCAAAATTAAATTCACAAATTTCACAGTTCCTACCTCCAGAATTTAACATTTTGATAGATACGAAAACTAATGAAACAATCTAAAATGGCAAAACAAGACTGCGAAATGGGCCTAACGATAAAACATCGAAGACAAACCTGGACACACTTCATCAGCCAAATAGAAGTAGTAATCCAAGACTACCAAAATTGGCACGTTAACTGCTACTACACTTGCGTACACATCAACGTCCCTTAGTGCCAATTATTAATTTAAACGACAGTCGAAGAAAACTCATAAAAGAGATTTTTTATTAAAACGTCATCAACTCAGCCAACGAAGGTAATAATTTGTTGTCAACGTATACAAGCTTTCATGCTCCCCAGATCAATCTTAAAACCTTTCTTAACCAAGAAGACAATAATTTTAAATTCATATTCCGTTCCCGTTTAATAATAAAATACGATTGCTTAAACTCGTTCTAGATGAATATGTTGACCTCTTGATCTCTGATTTAGCAGCCGTACGGAAGAAGTTGATGAGACACCATCCATCTGCCGCTAATCTTGAAGACCAGCTAGAAATGTCAATAGTCGAATGTAAACCGACGTAACTTCTAACTTAACAATTATACCAAATACAAGTACAATAAATCCACATTATTTAGTTGGACAGAACATAGGCTCTGTGCTTTCATGAGATGATATAGCAAAGAAAATCCGCTAGGTATTAAGCTAACCTTTAAGGGGTTATTCGAATTTTCACGAATAGAGCTAGCACGTTTGAGAACACCGAATAAGAATTCCATATTGACCGAGCGTTCGTGAGCTTCGTCGAGAATGACAATAGAATATTGCCTAAGATCTGGAAACATTTCAGCTTCTCGAAGCAAAGATCCTTCAGTAAGAAAGCAGATTTGAGTTTGTTCTGGGATTGTAGAATTATCGAAACGGACTTTATATCCAACTTTTCCGGTAGACAGTGATACTGCACCAGTTTCATCTGAGACGCGTTCAGCTACAGAAATAGCGGCAATACGACGAGGCTAAAAAAGAAGATGTATTAGCGTACACTGAACTAGCTTGTGTACAGAAGAATTTAAATAAAACAAGCGAAAACCAACCTGAGTAATTCCAATCATTCCAGTGGCAGCCATTCCAGAATCAAGTAAGAACTGAGGTATTTGAGTAGTCTTACCGGAGCCTGTTGAGCTGACAATGACTACGAATTGATTGTTTCTAATGAGATCCAATAATTTCGCCTTATGTGGCCATATGGGTAGTGTACGTCTTTCGCCTAAATATTTAGTCCTTTTTTCTTTATCCATATCTAAATAAATTTATCCTTTTGGTTATAAGAGAAAAACCACGACGTATACAAGAGATATTATAAAAATTGACGAAAAACTGCAGATAACATAAACCCTCGTGATAGCCTACCTGAAGAAGTAGACTAATGACGCGCTTAAAATTTATTGGCTATACCTAAGAATATCTGAAATATAAACAACCGCATCGATGGCCACAAAAATGTCGTTAAGTAATTGATTCAGGACGTTATTAATTGGTGGCGTATATTTTAAAATATATTTTTGAGTATTTTAAATTAAATAACAAGCATGACGTTTTAAATTACAGCATTTAGAAACTGACGAGATAACATTGTTATTCGTATTAATCATTTAAATATAGAAGGTTATCAGCTCTTCCAATATTAATCCATTCCTAGTTAACTATGAATTATTGTAAATAAAATACTCGCCAGATACAACCCAAATATAAATATTTTATTATTTAATCAGAGTTCTTCACTTGTTTTTATCTCATATTCATCATTATGTTTAGGGATGGGAATTTCGCGTTTATTACATCGATTGATATTTTTTTATATTGCTCAAGATCATCATCTCTTTTATTACTCCAATTAACATTTCTTCGAAATAAAGCTTGTTATGGTTTTACACATCAGGTGGATCTATATTGCTTTTATGATATTTAGGATTATTAAATATTTCCAGATTATGATTCAATGATCCAATGAGAGATGAAAGCAATACTGAGGCACAGGAATTCAAAATTCTTATTATTAATATCTCAAAAAGACGCTTCTAAAGAAAATATTATAAACGACTGTTCCTTTTGAGAGTACTCGATTTCTCTGGCGACTTCTCACTACAACCACAAAATTCTTTTGTTCATTTTTCTACTAAACATATATTCAAAATATCATTTTCAACTGAATATGAGAAATTTGGTATATTTTATTCCTAGATATGAGTAATATTAGTTCTCTCTTCTGTCTTTTAGAAATTATGTGAAATGATTATATTTATAGAACCAATAGCGAATCGAAATTATCATTTTCAGCTGTCAGTATTAATAGCAATGAATTTGATCTCTCTCACAGTTATTACTGCTTAATTAATACGCGTTGTAAAGGTAAATCAAGCAAGGTAGATTGCTAATAAATCTGTCACAACTGGGGTGTCCATTGAGTAAGTCAAACGACTGCCCAACGACACAGGACCATTTAATGGGTTTGCGTCCCCTCTTTCTACCACCTTTCACGTTCAGGCACCTACATCACTTTAAATTTTGTACTAGTTAAATATTCGTGTCTACATTTCCAATAAGTTTAGGAAACTCATCTTTAGTTTCTTGATACAATTCATTCTTTCCTTGCATTTTATAGCGTTCAATATATTCCTGAGCGTTATATCTTGCAATTAATTCCTGTTGGTCTCCAGTGCATTGTTGAGCTTAATTCCATCCAATTATGCGCAGTTGATCCCTATATCAATAAAAGTGAGGCTTTTGAAAGGAGTAAAATTAAAAATAGTTCAACTAGCCTCAAATATACTCAAAAAATGTTACAATCTTTCAATTATCCCCACTAATACAGTTGTGGGACACGTCATCGCATGCCTACACGCCAGGATTGGGAGGTGCGACCGTACAAACAGTGACCAATCATCAATCTCTGTTTGTTTAACCTAATCCGCCATCCTGATCATGATTTAGCTTCCTGGGTGTACGCTTTAAAGGCAACACACGTCCTGAGTAAACGTGCTCCGTGCTACACGTATGTTTCCTTGATAGCTGGGCTATAGCATAGCTGGTTCTGGGAGTCTAGCTAGATGTAGGAGGATCTGCAGAGATTTCTGAGTTAGTCAGGCTTTACTAGAGTAGCAATATTTCTGAGTCAGTCAGGCTTTACTAGCGTAGCAATCCGTGGAGCTATAGCTTAGCTGTTCTGGGAGTCTAGCTAGGTGTTGGAGAATCTGCCATAGAGATTTCGGTCAGGCTTTACTAGCGTAGCAATCCGCTACAATGCAATCCGGTCAGGCTTTACTAAGGTAGCAATCCGTTACAATTCTCAACCGGTCTGGCTTTACTAAGGTAGCAATCCGCTACAAGTCTTTAACCAGTCAGGCTTTACTAACAGTGCAAACTGACAGTAGCGTCAAATAGTATTTCATATTCTCATATTTAGAGTTTTTTTAGGTTGAGCAGCGGCTTCGAAAATCATTAGAAATGATCAAACAGAGATATCGCTAAACAAGAAAATTACTTAAAGCCAAGATGTATGAAACTTGCTTTTCGATTTTGATCTAGATACTTCGCGTGTCATTTCCTTCATATATGGCACTATTCACAGATTTTATCAGAATTTTAAGCAATTTGTTGGAACTAAACTACGATGTGTTTCACTGAACATTGCAAGCGTGCTCATGTTACCTCCCAAACTTTAAGTAGTATATGAGTACGTTATTAAGATTAATAACAATTATTTTAATGTCCATAAGAAATTTAGAAATTACGAGTTAATATTTTGAGAGAAAACAGAGGGATGGAGAGGGATTTAAGCCTAGATATGTAGGAGTCTTACTTCATTTAAGTTCTCTG